TAGTTTCATATACTTCAACCAATATAAATGCAGTATGCATAGGGAACCCTTGAGTTCAGAGGCTTCTTAAGCATCTAGTTCATATATACCAGTGAATTAGAAGCATATGGACTTCATGGGTGGTTAAAGGTCTACTTCAGAAACAAATGAGATTATAGAATTCTGTGCTTTAGCCCAGCACATCCTTTGGGATCGATTACATATAGAATAGCAAGCGTGTATTGAAAAGAATTAAAATCAATTTTGCTTTTACAATTATTAGGTTTATTTTGGTAAATACTAGTAGTCTCCAATAGTTTAAGGCATGTGAGGTCTAGACCTCTCCACAATCTGATTACCAGATTACAACAAAATCTTAGGTCAAATTTTGCTACACACAGAAGACATTTATTAACAAGAAGGCACAGTTCTGCCATATAACCTATTATATAAACTCCATGAAATCCCACTTCTTTCCCCTTTTAGGTCCACCTACAATACCTAAGATAAAAAGTTCATCTGAGGCATATGTGACAGCATTCTAGCCATGGTATTCTTCTAACCCATCTGGTTAGATTAAAGCAATCAAGAATCCTTCAGATCAGCAGCTGAACATGGGGCCTTTTAGAAATCAAGTCATGGCCACCATTCATAAAGGTACAAACTGCAGCAGCTTTAGATTTTTATATTGTGTGCAAGCAAAACCTGTGTGTAAGCTGCTGTCATTTCTAGAGCAGATTCACAGATAAACAACATTGATTTCACCAGTGAAAAGTCATTTCTGAAATCCATTTGCTAAACTAACAAAGGCACTAACTTTTCAATGAAACTCCATTGTGGGCTGGAAAGAAAGCCCTTTGGAATGTGGCTTTTTGGTTAAATGTAATATGCATCCTACTAGGACAACTATCTACTTTGAAGTCTAGATTATAGCTATCACATAGAATATCTATCAGACTGTCTATGCTGGTGGGTTGTAAAGCAGTCACTATAACATAAAGTTATGTGTTTAAAAGTGTATTTCATATTTGATGAGTTCTATCTACCTCCCTTTTTTCCCATTAAGTGGTGATTATTAGTCATAGATATTTCCATATTCTTCCATATGGGACAGAAGTGTAATCAGTATAGGTAGGATCCATAAACTAGAAAGGAAATCTTATGGTTGTAACAACTGTAAAAACTAAGACTACTGATATTCTCAGTGATACAATTGGTATACTAGTAACAAGAGTAGTAGCCATCTTTAGAATTCTCCTGTTTTGATGATTCTACCTGATTGTATGCTTAATCATTCCAAATTAGACAGTTTATTGATTCCATATTTGTTTATTTACTATGGGCAAGGCATTGCCTCTAGTTCAGAAATATCATGTGTTAGAATACAATACCTTTAAATCAGTTGGCATAATTGTTAGTAATTTGATTGCTGTCATCTGCAATTTCCTAAAGAAGAATTCTATTTGATAAGAAGTAGCTATAAATTTAAAACCCCTTCAAAGAAAATTTTGCCTTTTACTTTCTTTCATGGGAGAATTTGTTGGGCCATTTCTATCTCATTTTTTTCTTATGAGGCATAAAATCATTAGACAAAAGACATCTGAATGTATGGTCTAAAATTTGGCTTTTAAGAAAACCATATTGAAGTGATATCACTCTGAGGGAACCATATTTGTTTTGTTTTTAAAGAATATTGACTTTATAGACATGCATTATCTCTTTTATCATCTCTCTTATAGAAATCCATTTCTGGCATATTATCTACACTTATTTCAGGAAACCTGCCTGTTATCATCTAGCTGTAATTTCATCATATGCCTCCGGTAGTACAAAGATATTTTTTAAAAAGTCTTAGGTAATTATCATAACCACCACATTGTTTAGGGTATTACAGATATTAATAATAATGTTTTTCTTCTCAAACTCTTAAACTTCCCCCTTTAGCTCAATGCTGTAACTTCAAATTATTTTTTAAATATATGAGCCCTTGAATATGTTTCAGCTCCCTAATTCCTGTATAAACACATACTATATGTCTTTCTCACTAAGTTATAAGTTTGAGACAACCTGGTTGGGCTCATGAGTACCACCGTACAATAAATTCTAAATCATAAACATACCAGCTATGAAGAACTTAACCTTTAATTTCCACAAATAGGTTATGGTGATGAAATCAAATTGGAAAATAGTCTATTTTCTACCTCCCTAAGTAAGGATAGTAGGATGATCCAATTGGCATCTTTTTAGTTTGCATAATTTTGGTTTTTAGTAAGTGAAATGTCACTTCAGAATGCGAGACTTTATTTTCCTACGGAAAGTTATTTCTATCAGTTTGTGAGAAGACATCCGTATTTAACAACTATTTCAGCAGGAAAAAAATCTTAAAGGTATTGTATGCAGTCACAACTGGGTAAATAATATCAAAATGACTTATAAGCAAGAAAACAAGGAATTATGAATGTGACACTCTATAAGATTTTTAAAAATAAGTCTGAGCACAGGATTGGATAGGGAGGGTGCTTTGTTGATTTTCTCTATTTGTTTGTTTATTTATTTGTTGTTGCTTTAGGGGATGGTTATTGGTTGGCCAGAAAATAATGTATTAATATCCCACAAAGATTTGGATAAGATACACTACTCCCACTTTCCAAAACTTCATTTATAGAAAACTCTTTACTGTTACAACTGAAACTACCTAAGAATCATACAACCAGTTTAGTGCCAGAGCTGGAATCCATGTATCCTGACTACTACAAATTCAGAGTTTTTTCGCCATACCACATTTTTCTTTTATGCTACAGTTTCACTTGCATCAATACAGGGTTGGTGAAAGTGGTGAATGGATAATAGATATTGGCTGTCTTAGACTTCAACAATATATCTCAAAGAGCAACTTTCATATGACAAACAAAAGGCTAAATTAAGTAGATAGCTTTGCATGTTCTGGAGTCTTATATGAGAAGTTCACTAAACTAATAATAATACACTAAAGATTATTAGAGCTTTATTAAGAAAAGAAAAACAGATTCTGGTTAGTTTGTGGACTCATTATAGATTCAGTCTGTGATACACCAACATTTATACAACATTGTCTGGGAACAAATTTTCCATTTGAATATATTTTGTGGATTGCCTATGCTCACCTTTTTAATATGATAAGAAAACTTTTTAAAAACTAATTTTTTGTGGAAATAGTTCTAAATTAGATTACATAATTTACTACCTCCTTTAACATTATCCTGAACATCATATGGCTCTTTATTGATGACTCAGTTTCACCATAATAAACATAATCATTGATAGCTGCAGCTTTGGGAACTGTTAGTGTGAGGGAGGTTAGATCCTACTCTAAATAATCCCCAAGGGGCCTTCTGCCTCTCTTTTCCCTTGCCTTCAGATTAATTAGCTTTCACTCCTTGTTACTGTCAATATGTTGATCTAGTTCAGACCACCCTGCCCCTTCCACTTTTCAGTTTTCATGTGCAGCGAGCCTTTCAAGTCTCATAGCCAGGCTCATGAACATGGGTAGAATTAATTGCCTCTTGATTAGTCTGAGGGAATTAGGGTTCCCCTATAGGTAAAGCATAAGATGAGTTATAAAGCGTGACCTTGGTGATCTCTTGTGTCTAAGTTCACGAGACTGGGTTTATTTGAATAATTTTGTATAAATGAGATATTACTATTATTAGTATCCACAATGGTTATGTAAGATATTGAATAGCCACCTGAACTATCAACCTAAAATTCAATAGAACATATTTAACTAGTGTGTTTTGTTGTAGTTACTCATGATTCTCTAAACATATGTATCTGTCATGTATATAATTTTTCTTTCTTAATCTGTCCTTTTTAAGAGCTTCTTTGTGGTCTGTTGTGAAAATTCCAGTGCTGATAAGCTATCAACATACATTTGACCAAAATGGAAGTAATAAAGTAATAAATGTAAGGATATAAATTATGATAAAGGATGTTTCCTCACAAATTTGCTACAAGTATCAGGCCCTTATAAATAAAAGACCAGATATAGTCCTTAGTTTACATCCAGAAGAATTTCTGAAATTTTTAAACCTCGAGATATTCCCAAATATTTATGAATCATCAAAGTATATTGTAATGACTATGCAGCATTGAATAGTTGAAAGGACTTATAAGATTCTACAGGGCATATTTACATAAGGGTTAATAATGACAAAAGGTATGGTGCAGCAGGAGAAAGAAAATGGTCCAAAGACCGTTTTTAGTAACACAGAACATGCTTCTCTTCTAAATGTGAATGACCAAGATATGTGCAAGATAACTTTAGTGTCAGGGCAGCCAAGGCCCAAGTTTGCTGAGGATCTTTGATATTCTACTGATCATGTAGCTGAAACTAGCCTATGTAATCAATTAAATCAGGTGCAAACCATCAGCCTCTATATTTTCAATAAATAGTTTAGACAAGCTAATACAGAATGCCTCTAAGGGAGTTTCAGACTTTAAGCAGCACTTTATATAAAGCCAGTCCATTTCATCCCAGATTTGACCAAGGAAGGGGTCCAAAGTCCCAGGCATCCCTGGAGTTATGCAGCCAGAATGCAAGTTAACGCTATCTTTACTCCTTTATTCTGTATTTTCTAAGAGCATTTTTATTATAAGCTTGATAAATCTTTAGTTTTCCCTTTCATGGAATAACTGCCACAATGATAATGAGTCATACTGCTATTTATTGTAAATCTATTCTTTGTTATACCCCGAGCAAAGCATTCTATGTACATTACCTCATTTATAACTATGGGATTGCTGCTATTATTACAGCTTTATAGATGAAGAAGTGACACTTAGGCTTTTGCTTTCCTCATATAGCTGTTTGCTTTGACACCCTTTTTCTTACTTTCTAACTGGTATGCACTACTTAGCAAGCTTGGGATAGCAATGAGATCACATTTGTTACTCAAATTAAACAAGCACAACCCCCTTCCCCCAATAATGCAATAATGTCTTTCTTCCTTCCCTGACTAACCTTGTTTCTTTGGGAAATCCAGGAACTCCAGGATTGCACATTAGGTCTACAAAAGGAGGCCCTAACTCTTGCATCGAAGAACAGATAGGTAATATGAGGCTCATTTGTAAATTTTCCCATTCTCTGGGAATGGGATTTATTTGAACAATTCCAAGGTCATTAGAGGAATAATTACAGTAACTGAGGCATATAGGTTGCCCCAGCTTGGCTGGTAGTAATTGCCAGCAGTGCTGGGTCGGGGGACACCTTTCTATCCAGCATTTCTCCCACCTGTGCTTTACTCCATACCATAGTAGGCTTCATTTTTCAATATTTGAGCTATTTAGTGACCTTGCTGTTTCAGTGTTCATATCCCTGGCCTCTTCCCCAGGCAAGCTCACAGAACCAAGGTGGCTAACTGAGGAATGGCTGGCCTAACATAGCCTACAACTGGGTGATGTGTCTGGCTGGTATAAAGGACTGCACTTTATCCTTTAGCTGCTAGTTATAACTCTTATCAGGGCCACAGTAACCCACCTGACAGGTTTCAGTAACTTTGAACTTCAAAAGGGATGTCAGTCTCCTTCCTCACAGAAGGAACTTCCCAGCCCATTTAAGCTTGGTGTGTCAAATGTATTTGGGAGAGTAGTGGCAAGACTCCATCACTCTCCAGAGCCCCTAGGTCAGAGATTCCCAAACTTTCTTAGTTACCTTAGTTGTCACAGTGATTTTTTTCATAGCAGCCATAGGCCAAAAGAAATTCCTAATAGTTCCATTTATTAATTAGGTTCAAATAAATTTATAAGTATTTATATCTTGGTAGCATCATAGCCATTTGAAAAAAGATATTATTAATAATAATATACACAAATTGAAAGAAAGCAGTATATTTACTTCAATCTTAAATAATTATACAGTTATGTACTAGTGAGATTGTATGTGCCTGTTGGGCCCTGCACAAATTCTCAAATGTTCAAATCAGATTGGATACTGCCATCCCCATCTCCATGTGATTTTTCACGTGGCTTTTTTTTTTTTTAAATCACAGCTGAAAATCCAGCTTTGTACACACACACACACAAAGAATGCAGAACTGTCTAATGATAAAACTATGAAGTACCTCAAGCTTATTAGTGTGGTGTCTCAGATGTTGAGTATCACTGCATTTCCTTAAAAAATGTAAGATATATTACATGTCCTTCAAAAAATGTAAAATATCCTGCACATTCTCTGCAAGTTTACTGAAGCACCTGGGGAACTTCGCTCCACACTTTGGGAACCAAGGTGCCAGTTCCTTGCCAAGCCACAAAGCATCTGGCTATGCCCTCTTCCCAGAATAGTAGGTATCAAGCTACCCCATAGCTACTAGGGGAAACCAAATGCTTCTTAAAAAACAAAACATACCTGCTCCAAGGAAAGCAAAAATTGAAGCATTTTACAAATTTCAGAAACTTTCTCTTGCTATAAAAAGCATATTCAAGTGCTGTCTCCCAAAAATTTTGCTGTAAATATATTTTATACAATATACAAATATGTTTCACAACCATATATTTATTAAGTTTGCAATGCTGCTTCATAACTATAGGCGTGGTCCATGGCCAATCTTCTGGGCATTCAAGCCTCCAACTCTCTCCCATTTTGCCTTTTCATTTATTCCTCATGTATTTAATCTTGTTCTGTACTAAATTCTTTAATATGTGTCACAAAAGACAGAGGTTGGATCAAAATATTAATGGGCCCTGCCCTCAAAAAGCTTATGGCCGATAACAACCCCAGTGAGCAGTTTGAATCGAGAATTTGGTGAGCGGCTGCTTCTGTCCAGTGGGCGCGTACTCTAGGCTGAGGTCTCCACAAAGAGTGGGACCCACACCTCTTTCTTGGAGGACTGGTAGTGGACAAGGGGTGCACAAACAGAGAGCACCCTACCTGCCTGCGTTGTGTGGAGACGTAAGCTAGCACGTCAGACATGCCGCCTGGGGGGAGGTTTGAGAGCTGTACTTGGGTTAGTGAGGGAGCCCATGTGGACTGAACTGACGGGAGAGTGCTGTTGGAGACCCCGTGATATGGGAGAGCACCCACCCCTCCCTGCAGGGAGATCCCAGCCTAGCACCTTAGCAATGAAGAGTTTAGGCCCCTTCCCTGCAGTTAGCCCTCTGGTTCAGAGAACCTGGCCTGACTTTCCTCCCAGTGGCTCCCCCTAATGGCTGGAAAAGCATTACTAGAAAAACTTTAAATATGTTGAAAATGTACGTTTTCAAGGAATAAAGAAGGATGAAAGTTTGTTTTTTTTTTAAAGAAGCTTATAGCCTTGGAGGTGAACCAGACAGTCATACCAAACATGATAATAAAATGTGATAAGTTGCTATAATTGAAGTATATGTAAATACTGAGAATCCATAGCAGCTCTCTTTTCTTTAATGAAGTGGGGAGTCAAGTCTGGGAGACGTTTTTAGAGGATGTTACATCTGAGTTTAATAGGAGCCCACTAGACAGAGGAAATATCAGGTGCAAAATTATGAAGGCATAAAAGAGCCAATTCATAGAATGGTGAGATTTGGTTTGACTGAGGAATAAGGTGCATGGCCAAAGAAATCACCCATTATCCATATCATTCACATCTGTCCTTATCCATGCCTAATGCCACCACTCAAATGCATGATCTTATTATTTCTTAAGCTGGTCTATTGTAAGTAACCTTTTACCTGCCCTTTCTCCTTCCATTTTCCCCTCATCCTACCCCCAAATCTGTTGTATATTATATATATATATATATAGTTTTCTAAGTTATTCTCCCCTAAGTATTGGTCTAAATCCTTGAATGGCTACCAGACAGTTCAAATATCTTAGCCTAGCGGTAAGTGTCACCATGACATGCCAGTTGGCCACTTTCCTACTCTTCCTGTTTTGAGTCTTACACTCTGTCCCTACTGACCCCACTCACTGTGCTTCATTTATGCCCCTTACTTTACTTAATTCCAGGCCCTCACTCACTGTTTTCTTAGGATGTCTTTCCTTGCCATGCTTGCATGTCCTAATCCTACCAATCCTTAAAAGGCCAGCTCAAATACACTTTTCAGGGGTCCTTCCCCTGGTCCCCCCACCACATACCCAATAGAAATATGTCTGTCTTCTGACCTCAAAAAGCATCCGTCACGAGCAGTCTTACAATAGAGTTCTTTGTATCTCTCTTTTATCTTTGTTACCTCTTGCACTGAAAAACCTTGAGGGCAGAGGTCATCTGCTATTCATCTTTGTGACTTGTTGCACCCTTTTATTTCATTTATTTTTATTGTTTTCTTTTGAAGACAAAGCATAGACTAGAGTTTATTCTGAAGTTATGAAAAAGTAGTTAGGTTTTTTAAATAAATATACTTATTATGTGTGGAGGGTGTGCATAAGCCTTAGATTTGAAATATTTTCTTTAATAAGAGTGTTTCCTAACTAACTGAAGAAAAAAAGGTATAGGTTTTTATTTATTTCCTTTAATGGGAAAACTGCATGTTTTATATAACACCTCAGTGTTGTGTTCACAAGCATATTTACATTCTGTACTTGTCACGTCATGTGATATCCCTGATTAAAGCATGCACATGATTCCTGACAGCTGTGAGTTAACTCACAAAATTTAAGAAGAAGGAGGCAGAGGAAAATGATCAACTTTAGTTTTAAACATTACTGCTTTAGTTAAAAGTCCTAATGCAAGCCCTTGCAGATTGGAAATTGCTTGGTGTTTTAAGAGGAGATAGTTTGATTTCATCCTGTAAATCAAGTCCTCTCAAGGATTCTGATGCTGCTAAAAGGTGAGAAGCACTGCTAGAAAATTTCACTGTTACTCAACTCTATAGTATCTTGTTGGTTCCTTCATAGCACTTAATCACAATTTGTATTTTTAAAAATTTCTTCTAATGATATTCTATGACACTATGATTCATTGTATAGATGGTGCCTCTTATGACGTACAGAAGGAAGGAAATACTTAATGAAGGCTTATCATGGTTTTCACCCTAATGTAGGTGCCATCTACCTAGTGTCAATTTGAATATTTTAAAGAATCCTAAATAATGAGTCCATATGTTCTATAAAGTGAAATACATATTTCTATAATGAGATAAAACTTAAATTCATTGTTATCGTTGTCATTTTTGAAAGAGTGCTTACTGGCTTCATTTACTTAATTTTTTTTTGAAAAGTATAGACTTGTTTTATCATCTTGAAAGATCTGTAATGTGCCTTCTCTCATGTCAAAATTCTATACAGTTAGGTCTAATCTCTTTGCGTGAGCAGAGATTAAATTCTGGTGGCACTATATTTATCTCTCCAAACAAGCAAGGTGCTTTTAGTAAAATGTAATCGAAGTAGAACTTAAAATATATTTGTATATAAAAATTAAAAAATTCCCAATAAGTGTACATATAACTGTTGCCTTATTTATAATATTTTACTGGGTTTCGTAAATACATTTTGAATGTTTATGTAAAACGCCTCTGTAAACCATACAGAAGAATTTTATTTTTCTGAAGGACAGTGAAATGTGTCTGAAGGACAGTTAAAGTGTCCCAGTATATTTAACTTAAATGCATTTTAGTACAAAATTACTATTTGTGTTTCCTTGGAAGGAATTATGGCCAAATTTAATTTTTCAATGTCGTTTTGCCCCCTCTTCTTTTCATACAAGTAATGGTTCTCTGGGTTTATATTATTAGGTCAATTGGAGTTTTATTTATTTTTAGTTACAGGGACAAAGATTGATAGTCTAGAGACTGGAGTTTGATTTGGCTGCTGCTGTCCAACAGCAGAATGCCTTGGGGTATCTACTTACAGTAATGAGTATAAGTAGTGCTATCATAATTACTATATTTAAACACCCATGGTTGGCAGGAGTGTTCTAAAGTCTGAATATAACATAGTTAATTATGTCACTGTCCCTGCCCAGGGCAACTGCTACTGAAAGGACATACTCACATGATGAGGAAGATAGCAGATGCAGTGGTTTACTTCATTGCTCAATCACAGAAAGAAGTTTAAGATGTTGGCTCTGTTTTCTAAAGAGCATCTAACAGTTTTCATCTTGTATATTAACTACCCACATGGGTTTTTTATTACATTTTTAAACTTATATCTCTTTTTAGTTTTTCTCACAGGAGAAAAAGCCAATTCTGTATTAAAACGTTACCCAAGAGCTAATGGAATTCTTGAAGAAATGAAACAGGGCAACATTGAGCGTGAGTGCAAAGAAGAAGTCTGCACATTTGAAGAAGCAAGAGAAGCTTTTGAAAATAATGAAAAAACTGTAAGTATCTTGGCAATGTAAAATATATTTTATAGATTTGCCTCCCTTTTTGATGTATATTTTAAATCTGCATTCCTGAATTATGTACATTTCTATCAATTAAAAATTACCTTTGTGAAGAACTCTGAAAGTGGCATCTAACTAATACTATTCTGTGTGTAGGAAAGCTAGGTTCACTTCCCTGTGCATTGGTCTGTCTTGGAGGGTCTCAGTTCTATAGGACTTTGCTGAGCTAGGATTTATTATCTTGGCAAAGGAGAAGGATTTGGTTCATACAGGGCCTTGTTTTGGAAAGTTATAGATGAAATTATCACTTTGCCTAATGAGAGAGAAAGTGTGGAGACATCTAATGGATGCTAACATTGTTTTAAGATAGTTTGTTTCTCATACTAAAGAAAAGGCATATCCGGACCTCCCTTCCTGCTCAGTGAAAATACTCCTCTTTACCTCTCTTTACTCTAGACCACATGCTATTCAAAGAGAGCATGGATGGGAAAGTATAAGGCAGGGGTGTAAATTTTATAGAACTTCTTCACAGCTGGGAATTACATTACCAGAGGTAGCAGTAGTATAAAGATCTAGTCCTGGGCACTGCGAAAATAACACTAGATGCTAAACAAGTGATGTCAGATGTGCTAGAGGGACATCAAATATACTTTAGTAGCAGTGAATGTAGAAGAGTTTTAAAGAAAGGGGATTTGATCTTGTGTTAGGTAGAGAAGGGCCCAGGAGTAAGAGGAAGAAGCTCAAAGACAGACACTGACAGAGGCATGATTTCTAGATTCTAGTCTGCACAGCACAAGCAAAATCAGTTTATAAATTGATAAGCTGTGAGCCTCATTATTTTAAATCTTAGCTAAATCACATGGTTAAAAACAGAAAAGAATACACCATAACCCCATCAAGCAATCACAGAGCACTGTTGGATTTTTAATTTCTTTCCAGCTTTTTTCTTCTGCATCTACTTAGTCCTTGTTGGTTTTATTTTATACATTTTACTTGTTTTATACAATTAATACATGTACATTGTTGAGAAATTAAAAACTGTAGTAACATATGAATAAAATCACTTGAATTTTTAGCACCACTAGTTTTATACTTTTCATATATATCATTCTGGCCTATTTTTATAATATTACATAGATACTTTGTAAATAAGAAAAATAGAACTGTGATAAAAATAATGTTTTATAACATGCAGTTATTAACAAAAACTAAGTACTTAAAACATAAGCAAAACTTGGTTTTTGATACTGTGTTTTATCAATGACTATAAATTTTAGATGTTCTGTGGTTTTCACAAAACATAACTTTTCACCCTACTTTATCATTCTCCTTTAAAGAGAATGGTAAGTACTTATTTGAAATTTATTGTTCTAAAAGTACTTTATATTGGTGAATAATATTCTTTTTTTTTTAAAAAAAGCACTTTATTGAGGTATGATTGACATATAAAAAGCTGTACATATTTGATGTATACATCTTGATGAGTTTTGGGATAGGTATATACCCATGAAACCATCACCACCATCAAGGCCATAAACATATCCATCAGCTCCCAAAGTTTCTTCTTGCCCTCTTTATCATTATTGTTGTTGATATTTTGTGTGTGTGTGTGTGTGTGTGTATTAAGAACGCTTAACATATGATCTATCCTCTTTGCAAAATTTAAGTATACAATACAGTATTGTTAGCTCTAGGCACTCTGCTATATAGCAGATCTCCAAAGCTTATTAATCTTGCATAACCAAAAGTTTATATCCTTTGACTGTCACCTCCCCATTTCCCTCTCCCCCAAGTCCCTGGCAAACACCACTCTCCTCTTTGCTTCTATTAGTTCACCTTTTTTAGATTCCACATATAAATGAGATCATGCATTACTTCTTTGCCTGGATTACTTCACTTAACATAATGCCCTCCTTTATTCATGTTGTTGCAAATGGTAGGCTTTCCTTCATTTTTAAGGCTGAATGATATTCCATTGTATGTACATGCCTCATTTTCTTTATATATTCATCTGTCAGTGGACATTTGGTTACTTTTTGTTAGAAATAATATTTAGAAACCAAGATCTGGGAACCTGAGTGTGCTTATTGCTACCAAGGTGTCGTTACTTCTGTGCCTTTCAGCCATAGGGCTAGGAAAAATAAAACTCTCTCATACATATACATGCACATGCATATACATGTCTATATATACATATATGTAAAATAACAAGTTCATTCTGCTGATCTCCAATTTCATTCCAACCCCTCAGGGCTTTTCTAACCATCCTATATTTGTACATGAGATGTAGATGTTCTTCCACAATGAGAACCCTGGCTCCCAGTAGCATCACCATATTAACTCATTTGCTTGATCCTATAATACACGCACAATGGTTTCAGAATTTTAATATCCATACCATAATGGGGAGGGGGAAAACTTTTCATTCATTTATGCATTTGTTGATCCCATCCATCCATCTATCCATTCATCTAAGAAATCCCTCCATATGTATTCACAGTGATTATCCTTTTTAAAATATATAGTACTTCCTTGTAAGGATGTGCCACAGTTTAGTCATCCAACCTGCATTTGAACATTAAGTTGTTTTGAGTATTTTTATTTTTTCAATGAAAGATAATGCTGCAGTAAATAACTTTGTACATATTTATTTTTGCATTATTGGAAGTATATTCTCAGGATGAATTTCAAGAAGTGGAATTACTGGCCATAGGGTTAATACATATGTAATTTTGTTAGATATTGCCATAGTACCCTCCATAAGGGTTGTACTGTTTTATACTGTTTTGCATTTCCACCAGATATATTCAAAAGCCCATTTCCTTACATTCTCACCGGCAGAAAGTTTTGGCATATTTGTCTATCTGTTAGGCAAAACATGATATCTTGTGTCATTTCAATTTGCATTTCTATTATAAGTGAAGTTACACATTTTGCCATGTTTACAGGCCATTTTTATATCTATTTTGTGAATTGTCTTTGTCTTTTGCCCATTTTTCTATCAGATCAAGTCTTTTTTCCTCTCAATCTTTATAAAGTATATTAGAGATACTAGCCTTTATTGGTGATATATTTCAAATATTTGCTTACTGTTGTCATTTAGATTTTGACTTTGTTTATGGTTTTTTCCATGTATTTTTTTTTCATTTTCATTGTAGTCATAAACTCAATAAATCTTTTACTGAATCTGAATCTAGAATCATAGTAGAAAAACTTTCTCTACACCCAATTGTAGAAGAATTCCCACAGTTTCTTCTAATCTATTTGAGTTTTTACATTTAGAGAGCTGATACACTTAGAGTTTATTCTTGGGTATGGTGTGAGTTATGGATCTCATTTTTCTACATGGTTATCCAGTTATCCAAATGCCATTTAGTAAGAAGCCTCTCTTGGCCTCCATGATTTTAGTTATTCTTTATCATGTGTCCGATTTCCATATATACTTAGTCAACTTAGGATTTTCTATTCTAGTCCAGTGGTCCATGAGTCTGCTCAAATGTTAGGACTATCCTGTTTTAATTATAGAGGATTTGTAGTATGTTTTAGTATAAATTAGAGCTAGTTCCCCTTTACAAACTCTTTTTTTAGTGGTTTGTGACCTATTCTTACGTGCTAATTTTTCCATATAAATTTTAGTCTTGTCAAGCTAGAGAAAAGAATAATTTGTATTTTTATTGGGATCTTTCAGTTTGTAAATTAACTTAGGAAGAACTAACATGTTTAAGATATGAAGCCACTGTCTCCAAGAAGAAAAGATGTGTTTCTATTGGTTGGAAGTCAACATTTCTGTCTTTCAGGAATGTCTTATAGTTTTTGTCATAGGTTTATTAGCACATTTCTTAGGTTGGTTCCTAAATATTGTTTTTGTCATTATTGTAAATGAGATTTTCTTCTGCATAATATATTCTGACTTATTATTTGTATATGTGAAAGCTACTGATTTTTTAAAAGCTTTATTGTGTTATTATTGACATAACATTAACCATACATATTTATATAATTTGGTATATTTTGACATGTATATACACCTATAAAACCATCACCACAATCAAGATAGTATACAGATTCATCATACCCAAAAGTTACTTCTATTCCATTGTAATTCCTGCTTCTCATCCTTCCCCACAATCAGCCCCCCCCAGGCAACAGTTGATCCCACTATAGATTAGTTTATATTTTCTAGAGTGTTTTATAAATTAAAACATACAGTATGAACTCTTTTTTTGTCTGTCTTCTTTCACTCAGCATAATTGTTGAAATGTGTCCATATTGCATGTATCAATAGTTCATTCATTTTTACTGCTGAATAGTATGTTATTATATGTATATCTCACAATTTATCCTTTGGGTTGTTCCCATTTTGAAGCTATTACAAATAAAGATGTCATGAATATTCATGTATAAGGCTATTTTTTTTTTTTTTTTGAGACAGAGTCTCGCTTTGTTGCCCAGGCCAGAGTGAGTGCCGTGGCGTCAGCCTAGCTCACAGCAACCTCAAACTCCTAGGCTCGAGTGATCCTTCTGCCTCAGCCTCCCGGGTAGCTGGAACTACAGGCATGCGCCACCATGCCTGGCTAATTTTTTATATATGTATCAGTTGGCCAATTAATTCCTTTCTATTTATAGTAGAGACGGGGTCTCACTCTTGCTCAGGCTGGTTTTGAACTCCTGACCTTGAGCAATCCGCCCGCCTCGGCCTCCCAAGAGCTAGGATTACAGGCGTGAGCCACAGCGCCCGGCCTATAAGGCTATTTTTTAAAATTAAGGACCTATATATTTATTTTGACTTGAGTTCTAAGAAATCCCATGGTCAAAATTATACTTTCAAGGATGCATTGCATTAGATTTTTTTAAACTTTTAATTTTGAGATAATTATGAGTCACAGAAAATTACAAAGGTAATACAGAGGTCCCACGTAGCCTTTTCCCAGTTTCTCCCAGTGGTTACACCTTACATAACTATAAGGTGAAAATCAGGAAGCTGACTTTGGTGT